AGGGGGCCCCCTCCGGCCCGCCTCTGCCGTGCCCCCCCCACGCCCCCGGAAGTGAGCTCTCCCTCTGGGAGCTAGCCGGCTGTTCTCGAATCTCTAGCCCTGTAATGCGTGCTGGCATTCATTGCTCTTTCATCTTCCACATTTTTCAGCAGTGATTTAATTTATCCCACAGTTTCGCATCAGTGTAACGCACTGATCCCGGCCTTCTGAACCGGAGGGAAACTGGGATAGTCTCCTGTCCCCTATGATAGAGCCGAGTTCACTTAGCTGAATTCTTACATAACTCCTCTGATTCTAGTTACTAGAATTAAAATCCAGGGTAAGAAGCCGAGCGTGGTGGCACATGCCTGTAATCCCAGTATTTAGGAGACTGAGGCAGCAAAATTACCAGGGCTTCAGCAGCCTGGCCTGACTAACAACAGGCAAGCTGCACAATAAGATATCAAATGTGACACCCAAATGAGAGATCAGCCAGTATCAGATAGCACGAATATATTTCAAAACAAAACAGAACAAAACAAAAAGGCTTAAAGATCAGACAACGCATGATAGAAATAAGTGGAAAGGTAATGAAGAGCTTCAAGCTCTCCTAGGACGGGATTGAAACCATTCTTTGAAGCTCTCAGGGATTTATCTGATGTGTTTAATGGTAACATAGGAACTGAGACCTTAATGTCATTTTGTTTGCTTTTGGGGATAGTGTCTTAGGTATCCCACACTAGCCTAGAGTTTCCTATGTAGCTAAGAATGGCAAGTTCCTGATCCTCCTGCCTCCCCATCCCAGGTGCTGCTGGCATTACAGATTTCTGGGTCCTTTTACCTGTACAATGCTAGATTTCTTTAGGCACATTTACAGGAACCAATTGCACTCCTAAATCCTTAATAGTAATTACTGTGTGTTCTATAACCAAGCTCACTCACCAGCATCTGGCCCACCCATTGCTACTCAGGCACTGAAATCCAGGGACTTTCCCTAAGGGGAACCATTAATAGCTTCTTAGAAGAATGAAGTTAGAAACACTCTTAGAGCCCAGCTTCTTCTAGTCCCAGATAAGTACATGGGAAATTACTGCCAGCTCTCTCCCTTGGGTTCACCCGGAAGGTCCGGGGAAATGCAGGTGTGACTGACGGGGGTGAAGTGGCCAAGGCCCAGAAAGCAGCTCCTGGAGGGGCAGCGCCAACCATCTTCTCCCGGATTTTGGACCGAAGCCTCCCAGCTGACATTCTATATGAAGACCAGCAGGTGAAATCCCCATAGGGTCTAACCCTCCTGAGAATTTCATAGGTGCCTTTGGGTCTGATGAAGTAACAGTGATCTCTCATCTGTCACTGCCCCCAGTGTCTAGTGTTCCGTGATGTGGCCCCTCAGGCTCCTGTGCATTTTCTGGTCATTCCTAAGAAGCCCATTCCTCGAATTAGCCAGGCTGAAGAAGAAGACCAGCAGGTGGGGAGAACAGGGCCAGAGGCCTGTCTGGGGGGAGCCCTGGATTAAGCTATGAAAGGAGCCACCTCTGTCCCTCTCCTCCCCCTGTAGCTTCTAGGACACTTACTCCTTGTGGCCAAGAAGATAGCAAAGGCTGAGGGTCTGAAAGATGGGTATCGGCTTGGTGAGTGATTTTTGTCCTTTGGTCTGCTCACCTATGAATCCCTGTTTCTCAGTGTGATCTTTAGTCTTTGACCTCTCCCGGTATACTGATCCCTAACCTCAAGCTCATTTCAGTGGTCAATGATGGGAAGATGGGCGCACAGTCCGTGTATCACCTGCATATTCACGTACTTGGAGGCCGACAGCTGCAGTGGCCGCCTGGCTAACCTGCCAGGTGACCTGGGACCACAGACCTGGATGTGTGGGTGGAGAAAGGGAAAAGAAATCCTATGGCATTAATAAACTTATTCCCCCTCAGTTTTGCATTCCTGTCTGAAATATGTAACAGATTTATACTACAAAGGTGAAAGAAAATTGATTCGGGACTATGATCTCTCTGACCATGGTCAGAATAAAAGATCATATGACCTAGTCGGGGCTTAAAGGAGTGCATAGGGCAGATCTGCTAGTTTCTAATGGTCCATTCTAGGTCAGACCTCTAGGGGGGAACTAGTAGAAATTGGTCTGGATGACAGGACAGAGATCTATCTACCATATTCCCTTTCCTTTTGCTGTTACCTCTTATCTATGTGTGCTGAGGATGGAACCCAGGACCTTGGACACACTGGACAACCACTCCTACCACTGGCTGCATTCTTAGACCCCACTTCATGTATTTTTTATCCTTAGACTGTAAAAGAAAAAAAAAAAAAAAAAAAAAAAAAGGCTGCTCTCCAACTTAGGGAATGAACCAAGTGAACAGGAGTTCATACTGATGAACTGTGCGTGTCTCCAATGCATCCCCATAAGTCACCCTTAGTCACAACGAATCAAGTTGGGCATGAAGCCTAGGGTTCAGACTAGTGGAACCCTGAAAGTCCAGGTGAGGCAGAATGGAGCTGAGACTTGGAGATCACCAAATCTAAGACTTCGCCCCTGGAGTGTTTATCTCCTGTCATACCCTCCATCTCGCTCCGCCCAGCTCTAGTTGTGCGCAGTCTCTTGGATTTATTTGCCGTCTCCATGGCAACCCGGTAGCTGGAGTCTGAAAATGGAGTCTACCGAGGAGTCTCCAGCGCGGTAAGGAGCCTTGGACAGGGGAACAAGGAAGGTCAACGGACTAATTTCGCAGCGATTTTGACATCCTTGACGTATGTGTTTCTTTCAGATCTTTAGAAGTACTGCCCAGCTCCGAAGGACTAGAGAGCACTTAAGAACCCGTTTTTTCTTCGAGTGGCAGTCCTAGGCCTGGCCTAAGGGGCGTAACTGCCCCAGATAGATTATATGCAGGGGCTCATAAGCCGTGTTCTGTGCCACCAGAGCACTCTTATGACAGTCTTTTCGAGGCTCCCTGCCCTAAATCCTATCAGACAGGCCACGGGAGCTTTGGCTATCAACCCCTCTATATTTCTTACATACCTCGGAATGTCTGGGCCACAGACCGCACAGACCGCAGTTCATCCCCTGTGCCTGGCTCTTCTTATCCTTGCGGTAGCTCTGGTCACAGCTCTGGTCCTGCCTTGGCCTCAGGCTCGGGCTCAGGCTCAGGCCCTGGCTCTGGCTCGGGTTCGAGTTCTACATATAGACCTGCCCCTGGCCCTGGCCCTGGCCCTGGCCCTGCCCCTGGCCTTGGCCCTGCCCCTGGCCGTGGCCCTGGCCCTGGCCCTTGTCCTGGCCCTGCCCCTGGCCGTGGCCCTGGCCCTGGCCCTGGCCCTTGTCCTGGCCCTGGCCCTGGCCCTGGCCCTGCCCCTGGCCATGGCCCTGGCCCTGGCCCTAGCCCTGGCCCCACACTTGTTCTTTGAAGCCTGAGCCTGAGCCTGAGCCTGAGCCTGGTCTTGCCTCTGCACCTGGCCCTGCTATCCCTGAACCTAGGCATAAGGTCAGCTCCGCCGTTACTCAAGGGTTCATAAACATCCCACGAGATCTGTTCCCTAATGGTGAAATATGGAATCAT